TAAGCTATAGTGGAACACTAAAAGCTCCTTCATGCACTGGACTAGTAAAGCAGTATCGAGTTGTCAAGCCTGTATGCACGTATCCATTGCTCATGATGAACGTCCTTATCATTGTTATAATTGTGGAATTCAATTCGGACAGTTTGCGGCAGAGCGACTTGCATGGTCGTGTCAAGAAAATAAATTCACTACAAATTTCTTACCGTCACTATTTTCGGGAGCTGCAGCGATGCAAAGTGCCGTGATTAGAACCCACGCACTCTCCATAGCGACTGAAATGTTTATACCAGTAGACTGAAGATGACACTTTGCGGTGGTGGAAGGAAACAGAATTTGAGTTGGACCAATAATGCAATCATTTAGCTCAAATCTTGCATTCGGTGTGAACTAATGTCGAATGACCTTCCGGCGACATGCTCCGCGAGGCATGGAAACGTAACCACTCGCTGACGGTGACATCCAAACTAAGCCCAAGCAACAAGGTAGCCAGGTTGATAAAAGAAATCGTGAGATTCATTTTGGTGCAGGCACGCGGGTTTGTGACCGCCTCGGGGTCAACACCTTTTCAGCAAGGGAAATAGCTGGTCGGAAACAGCTGGTCAGAAATCGCTGTTCGGATCGTGCCTGCAAGTACAGTCAGTATCGCCTATAGCGTTGGTGTTTGATTTTGAGCATTTTATCACTATAAGCGATATATTACTATGACCGATACTGCATGCAATGTATGCGAGTGGGGTGTCAAACGACTCAGCGCGCCGTGCACATACACACTACATACATGTACAATGTCATGTAGCTGGCTGTAGCTCCTGACACACAAAATCAGGATTTCCTCATGATGGAGGCATATTTTGGCAACTTGTACAAGCAAAACTCACCAAACAACACTCACTGGACAAGTTCTTCACGAAGAAGTAACACCCCGTTCTCCTCTGACATCGCTTGATTTTACATCAATCACTATAACCGATGCAGAATAGTGTAATAGACGTCTTTTGAAATATGAATTTGATCACTATAGGCGATATATTACTATAGACGATTATTACTATACGCGATAACTGTGAATACTTAGTTATGGCGAATGAAAATGAATTTGAGAAATTGATCACTATATCCGGTATATTACTATAGCCGCCAACCTTATAGGCGATACGGACTGTACTAAGTATAGTGCAGACTGAGTGAAGGCGATGGTAGATCTACGATGCGAGTGAAATGTGGCATATATTCCTGCGAACTTCTATTTCCGGTCGTGTCCTGGGCCATGGGCGCTGTCCGTCGTAAGCTGTGACCTGTGCTGTTTGCCCCAGGTATCCCCTGCTAGGCTGATACCAATTACCATGATTACTACCATGATCAGCGGTAAATCTAGCAAGTCAAGTGGGTGGCGAGATTATGCGTGAAGAATGTGAGGCGAGCGGGTCCGCCACTTTCGACTGAAGCCAATACAGTTCCAATACTGGCAATAGTACTAATCACGCCTAGCTAGTCTGTATTGGCATCGTGCGAAGATCTCACAATCACATGATTCACATGCGACACGGTTCGGGGACTCGCACATCTCAAGACTCAATCGTCTCGACCTTGTGGAGTTGTGCACCGAGAAAAAGTGCGCAGACTCGGTGATGTGGTTTCCTGCGTGGGGCTGCGAACGGAGGAGCTTTCCGCATTCCTGGCTTGCCGCCTTGTGACCCTTGACAAGAGATGCCGGGCGTAGATCTCTACGGCCAGTTGGAGCGGGTGAGGTGTTGCGCCGCATCGTCACAAAGGCGGTTTTGAGAGTTGCAAGCCACGAAGTTCAGGAAGCGTGCGGTTTCATTCAGAAATGCTCGGGTCTTCCTGCGGGCATAGAGGCGGCTGTACATGCTCTGCAGTAGCTTTATGACGATCAATGCACAGATGCGATTCTTTTAGTTGATGCGCGCAATGCTTCTAATTGTTTGAATAGGCATTTTTTTTTTTTTTTTTTTTTATTGAAAAACCACAAACCTTCAGACATGTGAATGTGCACATGATATACAGTGTACATACGTATGTATCGAGAAGGCAGCACGGAAACGGCAGTGGTGGTGAGGCCTGGGCAGCTCGTCCGACCGTGGGTCTCGGAGTCAACACTGGGCAGACGCACCGGGGGGGGGGGGGGTAGCTTAGGAGATAAGGGATGAAGCCAGCATGATCATAGTATGTAATGCATATGCAGAAGTAATAATGATGTTAATCTTAAAAACAATAGTGCGGTGGACCTGCGCAGAGGAAAGGCATCATGGACATGATCTACGTGTATAACATAATAATATAATAATTAAAAGTGAGCTAGGGCACATCATACACACACACATATGCGCATGTTCAAATAGGAGATCAACCTGATAGGGCGTTCACCGGCCTTGGGTAATCTTGAAATAAAGATATTAATTTTATTGAAGAGATTATTATCATACGCTCACATAAACACCACATACCAACCATGTGCACCCACCCCCACACACACACACGCGCGCGCACACACACACACATGCTCGCACGCACGCACACACACATACACACCACACACACACACACACACACACACACACACACACACACACACGCACACACATACACACACCACACCACACACACACCACACACACACACACACACACACACACACACACACACACACACACACACACGTACACACAGACACACACGTGCACATTCACGCAGACGCGTAATCATACATAATATTTGTGCACAGACTCACTCTCTCACAGTAACGTCCAGAAAACCACCACGCCGAGTCCCTACAGCCGGTCGGTCGCCCAGTCCCAGTGGCTCGAGCGCAGGAATCGGTGGACGCTGCACTTGAAGGACTGCAACCTCTTCTGGTCGGGCTGATCCAGGAGGTGTTGGCGAGGCAACTGGTTCCAGGTGTCCAGCACTCCTTCAGGGAACGACCGGCGGACATTGTTGCGAGAATTGGCTGGGATATCAGACTGCAGCTGGTAGCGGTGGCCGGCCGCCACCCGCGCCTGCTGCCTGGTGTTGGCAGGATGTTGGTCGTGGTCTGGTACTGCTTGGGAGGGGGGCAGCATTCGGGTTAGCATCTGTGGGCCTGTCAGGTAGTGGATTTTGTAGAGATAGCAGAGAGCAGCCACTTTGCGCCGGAGTTCGAGGCTTGGCAGATATGCGCCTTCGCCGATCAGATGCAGGGCTCTCCGCTGTACAGCATCGAGTTGGGCCAGCACCGTCTGAGAAGCACCCATCCAGACTAGCATGCCATGCTCTAAGACTGGGCGAACAAAGCCGTTGTAGACCGTGAGACGGCAGCCAGGGTCAAGCACTGCTGAGGCCTTCTTCAGGAAGCCCAGTCGCTGTGTGGCGCGCAGGGCTGACTGTCGAATCTGCTGGCAGAATGTCAGTTGACTGTCGAAGGCTATCCCAAGTAGCTTCAGGCACTGGGTTTCAGGAACCATTTCACCTTGGAATGTGACCGGAGGGCAGTCCCAGGGCCGACGGTGGTGGCTGACGTGGAGTAGGTATGACTTGGCGGGCTCGAATGTCACTCGCCAGGTCGCACCCCAGGCAGCAAGGGCATTGACGGCGGTCTGGAGATCATCACAGTCAGCTGCGAGGTTGCCGAGATACCGGATACACTTGTAAAGCGTTGTGTCGTCTGCGTACGTGGCAAGGCTGGTCGATTGGGGAAGGTGGTCCTCAGCGTCATTAATGTAGATCAAGAAGAGAGTGGGCCCCAGGATGCTTCCTTGAGGCACACCTGCTCGGATGGCGTGTGTGGCTGATGTTTGTCCACCAACTACGGCCCGGATCTGGCGGCTCTCTAGGTAGTTTTTCAACCATGAGAGCAGGTGGCCAGTCAGCCCAAGGCATCTGGCCTTGTGAACTACACCGCGGTGCGACACTTTGTCAAATGCGCCGGCCACGTCGACAGCAAGGACTCGGGTCACACCCCCAGCATTGGACGTCCGACTCCACTCATGCTGAAGTGAGAGGAGAAGATCAGTCGTGCCCAGGCCGCGTCGGAACCCGAATTGCCGTCCGGAGAGGACCTGATTGCTTTCCAGGAAGTTAGTGATGCTGCGATTGATGATGGCCTCCATCACCTTAGAGAGTATAGAGAGGAGGGAAATCGGACGGTAGTTCTTCGGGGTAGACTTGGAGCCTTTCTTGAAAATAGGGACAACGTTCGCGATCTTCCAGGATGCAGGTTGCACCCCGTCCCGGAAGCACTGGGTGAATAGCTTTGCCAGAGGGCTGGCGAGTGACTGCGCTGACTTCCTGAGCACTTGCGCCGGAATGCCGTCAGGGCCAGTTGCTTTTGAAGCGTCCAGGTTCTTGAGAGCTCGCTGGACTGTGGCAGGGCGGAAGTGTACGGTCTTCAGCCTATTGCCTGTGCGTTGGCGAATAGGGGGCAGAGGTGTGTCTGGCAGGTCATTGGCACCAAGGCTACATTTCTCCGCGAAGTAGTGACCGAGGCAGTTTGCTTTCTCGATGTTCGTGGCATGCTCTTTGCCAGCAGGGTCGACAAGAATCGGGATGGAGCTATTTCGGGAGGTTCCGATGGACTGCTTGATGGTTGACCACCACTGTTTATCTCGAAGGCTGCCGGTCTGGAGTCGTGCACGGACTATTGCTAGATGGTGATTCTGGGCATCACGTAGGCAATCAGAAGACCGGTGGACAGCGAGAGTATAGTTAGCTTGACATTGGGGCGAGTCTGGTCGTCTCTTGAGGGACTTCCAGGCACTCTGTTTCGCCTTCACGGCCTTGCTGCAAGCTGGCGTCCACCAAGCGGGATCAGAGGGCCGAGTACAGAGAAGTTGGGATGGGATAAACTGGTTCATTCCATCTATGATGGCAGAGGTAATATTGGTGCAGCTGCTGTTTGCATCCTCAGACATGAGGGCATCCCAGTCCACACTCCTAAGGTGGTGGTTTAGTCTGTCCCAGTCAGCGCGGCCATATTGCCAGACTGTTCTGGCCGTCTTGGGCTCTCGACATAGTTCTGTCTTGAATTCTGCCAAGATGGTGGCGTGGTCAGATCTACCAATTGGGGGGCCGAGCCGGACCGTCGGGTTGCCCAGGTCACTCATGATGAGGTCGAGGAGGGCATTTCCACGAGTAGGCTCCATCACATGCTGCTGGAGGTGATGTAGTGCGCAGAGGTCCTCCAGTTTCTCCCCAGCTGGAGTTGTTCTACTGCTGCCCAGCCAGGCAGTGTTGTGCGCATTGAAATCGCCAGCGATGATGAGGTGCTGTGCATCCACCCGGGCAACGTCAATGGTCTGGTCCAAGTAATCTACCATACTGATATCGTTGCCAGGAAGAGACCCTGGGCGGTAGGCAGCACACAAGACAACTTTGCGGCCAGGTCTTATGCGGATAGAAAGCCATACAACTTCTTGGTCAAGGGTTGGAACAGCTTCCAGTTCTTGAAAAGCTAGGTGGGATTTCACCCACACAGCCACGCCTCCACCCTGTGGTGTTCGGTCTCGTCTTACTGGAGGGGAGTACCCAGGAAGAGTCACTTCGGCTTGCGTCATC